CCCTTTGTTCTCTTCTCTTCTTTTTCTTTTAGGTTAGTGAATAAGTCCACTGGGGCGTTTTGAATAATAAGCCTCTTGTACTGATTTCTTATGAGCTATGCTTGGATTGAAGTTCACCATCATCTATTTTAGTCTATGTTATCAATCAAATCATTCTCCCAAAACCCGCTCCCTAACACCGCTCATGTTCTCTAAATTTGATTATATATCATTTTTTACAAAGGTTTCTGCAAATCGGCCAATTGTTCTTTGGCAAGGTTGTTGTTTTCGTTTATTTGTTCACTCTTATGTGCAGGTAGATCGCTGAAAATCATATTTTCCCCAAATATATTACAGTTGTGGCGATGGGTGTGGCCACTATGTCATTTCTTCAGGTGGTGGTGGTGGTAGGGTTCGCTTAGGCTCATGGGTTGTTTTAGGGTTTTGGTTATGTTGGATTTGTGGGCTTTGTTTAGGCTTATGATTAACTGTGGTGATGTGGGATAGAGTTTTAATGCAACTTTTATCCGTGTTAAATTTATTTTTTACCATGATTATAATTGTCGATAAAGTAAGATCATATCTAAACGCGTAATTCCTATAAAATTATGCCTATTTTAAGTATGTTCTTATCAACGGGAGGGACGAGATTCAAACTTGTTGTTTGATTTGGACAAAGAACAAATTAGTTAAAGAAAATTGAAGACCTTAAAATTGAAATGCTTAGAAATTTGATTTAATTAATTACAGGGAACCAATATTCTTAAGGCCAAGAACAACCCCAACCCCAATAATGTGACCCACAGTGCCACAAGCCAAGGTATCAGCAAGAGTGAACCCAGCTGGGTCACCAGTCTGCAACCCAGAGTCCCTGGTCTCAAGCTTCAACCCTGCTGTTGCCTTCCTGTTTGCAGATGGGGCCAACCCAAACCTCCCAGCAAATAGCATTAGGCTTGTAGTAGTCACCATTATCTGTCAAATAAGATTAATTAATTTATATAATCACCTATTAGTACTGTTAAATTAATAATTAGTGAAACATTTGCTTACCAAATTGGTGGGTGAGCCAATGAAATCACAGCGAGCACCTAAAGCACCCTGGCCCTTGCGCCTCATTGGTTGAACTGCTGCCTGAACAATAAGGAAGACTTCAGTTTCACTTGTGCACCCAGCATCAGCATTGTATGAAAACATGGATGAGGAGAAAAAGAAGTGCTTACCAGGCTTTGTACATTTGCATATGAGACTTTGGATTTTAGCCCATTGAACTGGGGGAGAGAAGTGGTCACAGTGGCTGCTGCCATTTGCTAGATTTTTTGTGTGAGAAGCTGATGAGGTGCTGCAATGTCTCTCTCTCTCTCTCTCTCTCTCTCTCTCTTTCTTATTTTTGATAATTTTATGAACTTTTGCAGGCCATAATGCCTAAGATTATAAGCTCTTGAGGGAGAAAGTCTGCACCCACAGCCACATGAGCAACTTGTGGCTTCAGAATGTTAGATTTGGATACACCAAGATCCTGGTTGCTGACTTGGCTTTGTCCCATTGGATTTACTCAATTGGATAAGGTTTTGTGTGCTTGAGAATTTTGTCATTGGATTGACGATGATGATGATGATGTAATTTGTACACTGTCTGGATATAAATAGATGAAAAATTGGGCCAAATTGGGCTGGATTGGGTTGGGAACTCAAATCCAATCCAATCCATTGATGGACCAGAATTGGACTAAAAAGCTCATAAGAGGCCAACTAGCATTGAACACTGACCAAAAGCAAAATTGTCCTCAGATGTATTATTTTATGTTTATGACAACTTGGTTTCCCAGGACCTGATGAGGAAAGGACAAAAGATACAATCCACAGAGATACTATGCAGGGTGGGTGGGCCCCCACATTTAAACCAGTTTCTCCTTTCAATAACCTCAAGATGTATGTCCCTTGGGATTTGATTGCTTCTCTCTGTTGGGGTAACCCCAAAATCTCATTCTCCTCAAACATATCATTTCTCAATATCTCTTGAGAAACTGAAGGTTAATCTTGTCACTTCAACAACAAATTGGGTTCGCATTTACTCCAAATTGAGAGAGAGAGAGAGCTTTTTAAAAAAAATCTTTTTGTAAAGGAAGTAATATTAGGGGGAATGCTGTTGTAAGTCCATAGGTTAGGTTATGGATGCCCACCATAATGCCTTCCATAATAGCTACCATAATGCCCTTCATAATTTCTCTCGATAATACCTGTCTATCATTTGTAATTATGCCTTGTAACCACCACCAATGGGTGGTAAATGATGATGTATTTTCTATGACTATAAATAGTTATACTAAAGATGGATAAGAGATTAGAGAGCCTTGAGCTATTGAGAGATAATAGATGCTACATTATTGATAAATGATGATCTTTCTCAGCTTTATTATATAAAAAATACCACATTATGTACAACATCTCTAAAATAAGTGGTCTCGCTATTACAAAATGAATGAAAAGAAAAAGGAACATGAATCCACATTGAACCATATTCCACCAATGATGTAAGGTAAAGATTTTTATTTTTTATTTTTATGAATTGCTAGATTTGGAAGTTTATATGATGTATTTCCTATGCCCATAAATAGTATTTCCTACACCTATAAATAGTATTGCACTAAAGATGAATAAGAAATTAGAGAGCCTTGAGCTATTGAGAGATAACAAATACCACATTATGTACAACCTCTTTAAAATAAGTGGAGCCGTCTGTTATAAGGGTTTCACGGCTATTATAGGGGTTGGTACATAAATGTGGTCTCCTAATACAAAATGAATCTTCAATACAACAAAGACAAGAAAACTGAACATGAATCCACATTGAACCATATTCCACCAAAGCTGTAAAGTAAATAATTGTTATTTTATTTTTTGGAATTGCTAGATTTGGAAGTTCATATGATGTTTCCCCATGAACAAACTTTTACAAGAAGAAGGCTGAGGCAAAGACAGATGCATGCACATGACTTCTAGACAGATAGAACCGAAGCGTAGGTGATACAAAATTTGAAAGGAACCGAAAAACAGGTGAACAGAGGGATTTGATTAGCTATAGATTCCTAACCCAAAAACAAAGGCAGGGATAAGCATATTACAATTACGAAATCCTATGCTATTCATGCTCTGATCTCCTGCTTCTTTTTTACACAGCACAAAATACTTTTGTACAAGCAAGCAGGTAGAATTTGACTTTGTGGGCAGTTTAATCAAACCCATCAACTTCAGCTTCCTAGATACAAAGGCAATAAAAGGCAAGCAAGTTGCCACCAAACATAGATCGGATTAAGCTTGTACAATGGAGGTGCTGCAGAGCCTACTGATCTGAAAAACAGGAAAAAAATTGTGTTATCGGTCGATGACCATTGCATAAATAAATTTGACACTAGTATTTCAGATACGAAAACTAAACCGTGTTAAAAGAACAAGCATACCCAGCTGCAGCAAAGACACATTTTCCATAACCTGTAAAATGGTAATGAAACTGATCAGTATCTTTATTTTGGCTGGATGGTTCTTTTAGTATCTAACTCCAATTTTCTTAGAACCAAGAAACGAGAATTCTTGATATTATAAGAACAAACTCATTCTAGGAAAGTATTGTTTACCTATTGCTGTGTGGAGATAACTTGGAATCAAAAGAATTGGTAAAATTGCCAACATTAGCAAATATTGATCAAACTCCAACGGTGACATAATGTCATATTCTTAAATTTTGAAACCAAGATGTTTCTTAAACGTGCAAAGAAAAATAACTTCGATCGATTCGAAGATTATCATTTAGTGCATTAACTCAAAATTCCAGCTATAGAATCAGCAGCAAATGTACCATGGGACTAAAACTTGAATGCAGTATTTTTTCTTACTCTGAAAGAGAAAATCCAGTTAGCTATGACTTCAAATTGATCTAAGTTGTTCTAATCCATGAAAAGATCTTAGAAGTGGAGATGTACAACTTACTCGGGTTATGTTTAGTGACTGCAGCAGTTCCTCCAAAATTGCAAGCTATATCAGAATTCCCATTCTGTTGATAGTAATCATTGAAAGCAAAGGAGGCATGAGACAAGAGAGTATCCGGTTCATAACAGGCTCCGCCTTCTTGGATTGCCTTGCAGTTTGCCATTCCCAATCCACAGGCCCAGTCTAATGCATTTTGCAAATCAACTTGGGAAACCCCGGGAAGGGCCACACACCATGTTGTGCCATCAAGGAATGTTGTGTTCCCTTCTGGTGGTGACATTGTGGTTACTGGGATTGCTCCATCCGCCTTCTCTTCCACCGCAAGTTCCATTGTCGAAACTAGTAAAGAATCGAAAAAAATCGAGACACACCAATTCAGTACTGTATGGATTGATGTTTCATTGATAAAATATTAACTTGTTTCAAAATCTAATCAGACGAATACTTATTGTTGATATAGAATATCACAGACATTTTAAGTTTATAAAATGACAGATACTTGCTGAAGTTAGCTCAAGCACATGTTTCAATCCATCATTTTCAGTTTCAGAACAAATCTCTACAAATCACAAATAGCTAAAACTGAATAATACCAAGAAACCATGTGCCTTTATGTGGCAACATGGGCCCACAGTGAAGGGAAAATGAAAAGTCAAAATTGCAATCAATACAACTCTACCAAAATGCCATCTCAAGACTAAGTTGGCTTGGACTTGCCTGTATTAGTATGTATGTTCCCATTTTAGGCACTTAGCTACCATGAAACTAGGAGACCTTTTCATTTTTTTTACCCTTCAGAGAGAACCCTTTTCATGGCTATCCCTCTATCACATACATAAACTATTGATGCAAATCTCAGAATGTTCCTCTCCAAAATTTCATAAAGATATAAAAAAAGAACATTCTTTATTTTGCAAGCTTCAGATGTTCATATACAAATATATATTTCATGGGAAACAGATAATGCAAATTTATAAACCTGACCAGAACCTGCCAACTTCTGAACAAGACAAGAAAACACTGGAAGGAAAAAACAATACTTAAAAACCAGAAAACAGAACAGCAAGAAGAAGCAAAGGAAACAGAACATACCCAGATAGCATCCCAGGAGCAACAAGCACCGCAGAACCAAAACCCATATGTTCTTTCTCATGGTGGATATTCCTCAAGCTTCTCCAAGAGGGGGAAAAAAACAAAAAGCCTCAATGTTCAAAGCTCTCCTCAGCCTCAGAAGCTATACTAAAACAAAACAAAAAAAGATTTATTTAAAACAAAAATGAAACCCCTCTAGCTCTAGAGAAAACTGAAAACCCACTACTCTCTCTCTCTCTCTCTCCCACTTTCTGTGTCTTAAGAGTGATGAGAAGCATATGAGAATAATGGGTGGTATAAATGCAAGAGTGTGTTCATGACGAATCTGAAGTTCCTTGAGAAGGAAATTATCTTCTTTTTCACTTTTTTAGTTCTGTTTTTTTGAGTTTTCAAGAGAGTGTGACAAGTGCTTCAGAGAAGCAGCTAATTATGTGTACTCACTTACTTTGGCAGTGTGCTTTTTTGCCTCTCACAGCACTATATTTCTACATTGCATTTTTAGACCTTCAGGCTTCCAGGCACTAAAAATATGAAAGCTTTTTTCACAAGGTGGTGGTGGGTACAGTCCAGCCATATAAAAAGCGATTTTGGGTGTGTGTTATTCAATTCCCATTCAATTTATCGCGATATATTGAACCCTCTTCACCAGGTGGATTTTCTCGTCAATTTGCATTTTCTGTTGGGGTGTTTTGGTCCACCAACTTTAAAAACCACCAGAACCCATGTTTGATTTCTGGGCTGAATTGTGTTTTGTTTTGACATTTGGCCCAATTCTGGGTCGGGTCAAGCCTGGTGGTTTGAAGTTGGGTCTAATTTTTGTGTATGTCCATTGAAAAGCCCCACCCATTTGGTTTGCCCTGTCAAATGACCCAATTATCTGACAAACTAACTTATAATTTGAGATCAGGTATTCTATATGGAACTTCAAAAAATGAGGCAAGCTCAGGTTTATCGATTTGTGAAATAAGTAATGTACAGTTATGCAATGATCAGTTAATTTTTTGTTGATTTGCTGAAGTACTAATTAACTTGTACTTGAGCTTTTCATACGCAACCCATTGTCCCTACTGCGAATTTGCCGCATCATACGCCATAATTTCGTACCACATATATCAATCTCTAAAACAAGTAGGCAATGACTATATATTTATGATACACGTTACAACATTACTGTTTTGCAAGTTTTACAGAGTAGCACCATCTAAATTATAAAGGGTTGGACCACCTAACTCCATTTTTTGATGTTGCTGTCAAAGAAGAGTTGTTCTGCTATATAATTATGCATAGCTGTTTGATTGATGTACGACGAGGCATGTACTACTTTTTACCCAAGCCGTAGGCCTTGGTATGCGTCCATGTTGGTATCCAGCAAATGGTGAAGCATCCAATTTATGTGAATCTCCTTCTCCTTATGGGTACAAATTATTCTGAACTTGGCCTATTGTGCCGACTTCCTCCTACATAAATTATACAGGATTCACAAACAATAATGTAGCTACAGTATTCATCAGGAAATTATAGTTGGCATATATATTTAGCAGTGTACTCTTTAACCGTTCAGACTGAAAATAACTTACTTATGTCGGATCGAGTTGGAATACCATTACATAGTAACATCATGTTGTACGAAAGTTGTTCTAAATTTGGAATTATTAGTTAAAATTTAGGTGAGAATCCTAATTAAGCATATATCATGCGTATCAAGGAAACTCATTTTTCTAAGTCATTTACCACTTAGATTTTGATGTTTACAGATGCGATCGACTTATGAGATAGAAATATTCTGTTTTTACCTTTTGTTGGTAACCAACAACATATACTACAAAGTTTGATCATGTACTGGCTGAAAAGATGTTTGAAATGAATTTAGTGGCTCTCCTTTAGAGTTTTGGAACCATTGTTATCAGACGCAGACCATTCACAATTCTCGGGGGGGAAAAAAATGAAAAAGGAAACCAAATAAATAAAAGCTAGGGGACAGAATAACCTGGAGTCACAGAAAAATCTTGTTTCTGCATGATTCTTCCTAGTAGATGCAATCCTCTCTTAAATTTTAGCAAGGAGACACAATGACCTGCAGATTTGGGATCACAGAAAAATCTTGTTTCTGCACATGATTTTTGCTAGTAAATGCGAAACCTCTCTAAAATTAACTTTATGTATAAAACTCATCATATATATATATATATATATATCTCCCTCTCTCATCATGTAACCGTTCCTCTCGTAAAAATTAATACATAGGACCCACCCGTAAGAGAAACAAAAGTAGAATGCATTCATTCAAGAACTTAACTACACAGAAAAGTTGAGATTATATATAAATAAGGTTGACCAGTGACCAGTTTGATCCTGTCTGGGCTCCTCAACATTTAGTAGAACCTGAACCAAATCGTTAGCAGCAAATGGCTTCACATATTAAAATCCAAACCAACAATAAATAAATAAAAAACTTGCATAAACTAAGATCCAAATACATATAAAATACTAGACAGTGGGGACACAATCTAGCAGTTAGATGAGCAACCACTTATTAGTTTATCAGCAGATCAAGCAGACACAGAAGCATCGCCAACAGCTTCGGGAACATCAGGTGTGATGGCACCAAGAAAATTAAACAGATGACTCGGATTCCAAACCCTAATATATTTTTTTCTTCTTCTATTTTTGGGTTGTTCTTGATACAGCCATTATGTACCACACACAAATTAGGGTTTAATCTATTTTAAAAATATTTTATTATTAAATTAACTCAATATAATATTTGTCCCCAAAAGTCAGATTAATATTATATTGGTGTCATAATTTTCACCTAATACAAGTTTGTTTATGTGCTGTGTTGAGGAAGAATGTGTCTATGTGACATATTTTGCCCGTTTGTCGGCCTATCAAAACAGCGGGAATATTGGCAGCTTGTTCACTGTGCCTTCTCTTCTTCTGCTGCGCTTCCTTGAAATGGTCATTTTTCATTAATTTATATGCCTAATTTTCCATTATCATTGTTGCATTTTTCTATCCCCTACATTTCGAGAAATTATAAAATACTACGATAGTACGATCTCGATAATCTCTCCTACATTTCATGCATTTATACATGATGAGTTGAATATTTTATTCAACACGCATTCCTTACACGTATTAAACTTATACGGGGGTTTGATGTGAAAAGCATAATCTCTGTATTTTAATGCAATATGCATGCATTTCTTATGTATCATGCAACTTTTTTGTAAAATTATATATACAAATTTATAAATAAACCCAATCCTAGACATGTATTTATAAAAAAACCCAAACACTATTTAAACATAGAAACACACCCAAAATCAACCCCAAAGTCAATTTTTTGGGTGTGTTTATATGTTTAAATAGTGCTTGGGTTTTTTTTATAATTTCAACCCCCATTTTTGGTGTTTTAGTGAAACTCCCTATTATATAATTATTTGTAATGGAAATGTCGGAAGAAACTACGTATGATCGTTGGGAGAGATTAGGTGAGCTTTTCCATGAGCCTTTCTTCAATACATTGAAAAGTTCTCCTATAACTTATTTATTTTCTGTGGATAATGATCAAAAGCTTGAATGTGATGGTTGTGGCTAGTTGTTCGCTTTATACTTTTTAGGTTTGTTCCAAACTAGATAGTTTTGATTTTTATTGATGAGTTTCGACTCAATTACAAGTTGAATCATAAACATTTATATTGGTTCCAATTAATTAGTGTTGATTTGCAGTCTTGTAAAGTTGTTTTTCCAACTCTATCATAAATCTCACGTTAATTTTGACATGTGCGAGAGTTGAGCAAAACATTAAGGAAATGGTTGGTATACAAATATCAGCACCAATGTACCCGTCACATAAGATGTACATAAGCGAATTGTGATACGAAAATTATGAATATATCAGGTGAATATTGGATTTTGTCTGCTTGTTCCCTTAAGAAGGAAAGGGCTGTGAAATTGATGATACATTCGAAAAGAATATGCATATAGTACAAATTGAGTGAAGTAGAGTAGAGTTGTCTTGGATCGGAAG